AAAAAAAAAAAAAAAAATGTTGCTGATTTTGCATAAACCAGAAATTTATCAACAAACCAATTTACAATATTCACAAATCAATCCGTAACTTCTGAATCCTAAGCTTCAAGAAGCGTTTTTAAAAGCAAGAATTTATTCATAACAGAATCAAGCAATTCAATGCAAACAATCATTCAGCAAGATAAGAGAAAAAGCCGCTTGCCAGTGGGTGCAGATGCTGCTGGCCTGAGGAACATCAGAAGCTCCGGCCATTCTCACCCCTGAAAAAACTCTTGCATCAAAGATAATCAACAAAGTTCAGATTATACGAACCATTGTCAACGAAGATTCAAGGACGTATCAGGCAAAACCAAGTAAAATATAGAAAAATGAAAAGTCGAACAAGAATCCCAACAATACTGATCGGAAAGGGTGAAAACCTCGGATTCCAAGCCGTCGAAGATCAGATCACGCGATAGGAGAGCTTCTTTATTGTGATCTGTTTATCATTCAACGAAATTAGGCTAGGGGATTTGTTCCTAACAAAAGATAGAACTTTGGACCTCAAAACACTTGTTACAGTAGATAGAGAACTTTTTACTAGCGGTGACTGTGGGTCCGTACGGTTCGAAGATTGATCTCCAGAACCATACCAAACTTCGGAGATCCCAAAATTCAATTTCCGGAACTGTATCAAAAAGTCCATTCGGTTCGGTTCGGTTCAAAGATTTTTATTTTTTGGTTCGGTTCGATATTCGGGACTATTGAGACGGTTCGATTCGGTGTGATTTGGTTCGGATCTTCAAATTTTTTTTATTTTTTTAAATCATTTTTGAATGACTACCTAGTTATATTTTCATTTTTATATGCATTAAAAAAACAACGTTCATCAATAATTCATCATATTGAAGATTTTATTTTGAAATCATTTTAGAAGTAACTCTAAATTTTAGTTATTTAATTTTTATATGTTCTAATAAAACCAACATTCATCAGTACTTCCTTACATTAAAGATTTTATTTTGATTGTACCAAAAAAAAAAAAAGATTTTATTTGAAATCAATATTATAAGTAACTCTAAATTTTAGTTATAACTAAATTTGTGCAACTAATATTGAAAATTTAAAATTCAAATAAAAATATAATATTTTTTTCTTAAAAAAATATTCTTTAAACTTTCATATTATTTTAAATAATTATTTTATAATAGAAAAAAATTCAATTGTAGATTGAATATTACTAAGCATGAAATTTAAGTGAATGTTAATATTTATTACTATATTATATAGAATCAAAGTCGACATAAAATATATTAATAATACATCTAATGTTATAATTCGGTTCTTAATTTCGGTTATTCGGTTCGGGACAGTATGGGACGGTTCAGTTCGGTTCTCGGTACGGATATTTGTGAAATCTTCAGAACCGTACCAATTATTTTTTCGGTTCGGTTCGGTTCGGAGAAAGTCAAACGGTCAACGGTTATTTTTCGATTCGGAGTGATTTCAGTTCGGTTTTCGACGGTTCGGAATTCTCCGAGTCCCATGCTCAGCCCTACTTTTTACCAGGGGTGTTCACGGTCCGGATTGGTCCGGTTTTAGCCCAAACCATAACCAAACCGGACGTAATGGTTTTTTTTTTCCTGTACATAACCGGACCGGTTTTACTTTTTAACCGGCCACAATCCAGACCGCATTGGACGGTCCAGTTTTTCGGTTAACCGGTTAAATCCAAAATCCTTGTTTTGGGCCTTCAATTTTTATTTTTGTCATTTTGAGCTTAATTTTTATTTTTCAATTTTGGGCCCAAAAGAGATTACTTGGGCCTAAAAATTAAGAAAAACAACAATAATGAAATAAAAAATACACAATTCGTCTACAAAAATGACGAAGATTAAATTATGCAAACTGAATGTATATATATATATATATTTGTTATAGTTTTTTAATATTTATCGGTCCGGTCCGGTTAAACCGGCGGTTTGTCACAGGTAATCCATTAACCGGACCGATTATTTCAAATTTTTAAAAAAATTAACCACCTGATTTTTTAAAGCTCTTTTAACCGACCTCTCCTTTTAGTCGAGACTCACTTTGCTCTCCTTGCTTCGACGCATTGCGGGTTGTTGATGGATATCAAGTACTAGAGCTCGCTTGTCTAAGGGTTGGGCGCTCTAAGGTTTTCTAAGTAAATCGAATGGGAGAAAACTCAATGGTGTGATGGCTCCATGAATAAGTTCTTCGACAGGACCATCCCGTCCGAGGGCTAATCATAGATTTACTATGACGATGCTAGCGAAGCGTCACTTCAACTAGTCCATTCTCGGAGGGTAGTGATTTTGGGGGATGAGGATCTGTATAAGACTTCAGTTCAGAAAACTCAAAGATGTACAACGTTGATATAGAAAGTGTTCCGTGAGTGAGAACTCTCTTTCGAAAGTGATATCACCATCGGCTTGTTGAAAAGGGAAAAGAATTAATTGGAGCTAGAGCCCTTGACTAAGTTGATAAAAAGAGTAAAGTGTTGAAAGCTACTACGTGGATAGGAAAGGACTTCTAAAGTGAGCAGCTAGCTAGGCCTCTTGAGAGCTCCGGATCGGTGTTCTTGTCCCCATTTAACCAATCTGCGGTCCGGATTGACGGTTTTTTCAGTTAAAACCAGACCGTGAACACCCCTACTTTTTACGTACCATAAATTATAAGGCCATATTTGGTACGCATGATTGGATTAGATTATAATAGCAATGATAGACAAGATTAAACTGTTTGGGCCTCATTTACTTCACAGGATAAGACATGATAAAGGTGGATACTGCACCTTATCAGTCGTTTACAAGACTTTATGCTCTTTTCGGATGTATCCTAGGTGGCATGTGGTGGCCCATGTGCATATCAATTGTTAGTTGATAAGTCCCATCCTATGTTTGGGATCGGATTTTTTTATCCACCAAAATGACAATTGAGTTTAAAAAAGCACAAGTAAAATGACCTTAATGCCCCAGGTGTCCAATTATTTATTGACAAATGCCAAATAAATAATATTTCTCTCCAATTTTCGACCAGCCTTAACTCGCTCCCGTCACCTTCCTCTCACTGTGACGGTAAGGTCGTTCTGATTTTCCTTTTTTCGTTATTTGTTGCTGTAATTCATGACAAGTTCATGTTAAAATGTCTGTTTTGTGTTCTCGAATTCGTGTGTTTGTTGAATTGGCATAGAACGCGTTCCCCTTCCGCAACCTATCGACGACGGTTGTAAGTTGCTTCCTCTTTTCATGTGGATTATTTGTAAATGTTCTCAATTCTGCAGTCTAGTACCATGAAATAGTTTCTGATCATGGTACTAGTCTATATTATTTTTTCTTTACTTATTTTTTAAAAAATATATATAATTAGTGATATGGGATAACCATACTAGGTTAACTAGACCAAGAAAGTAACCGAACCAAATCTGATGGACTATTAGGTCGAACGGGTAATTAAGACTTCACATGCCGAATGACACTCAGGTCGAGGTGGACGTAAAGGATACAAAAAGCATTAGCAGGTCGAATTAGGGTAGGTCAAATTAGGACCTTCGGATGGCCTGAGTGAAGTTTGACCAGAAGAAACATCTGGTCGAAGGATCGACCAAATGGACGTAGCAGCATAGCTTGTCATCGATGATACTCTACCTCGAGGTAATCGGGGTCGGTAGCACGGTAAGACCTTCTAATGAGGAAGACTAAAGGATAAGAAGAAATATTAAGTGGATTAAACCCCCGCGTGGCATAACATAATGGGCCATTCGAGCAATACGAATGGGCAGCTCATCCGGTCAGTCTTGGGCAACAATGTATCATCTCCATATATAAAGGAGTGACGTATGTCGTGAATTACATTACTCTTTACATACATTTTCATATTGCACTTCATCTTCTACAAGTACTAAATTAAGGTTCAGAGGCTCTTCAACGGAAAACTCCTCCAGTATGCGAGTTCTGCAGGTCTAAAGGCGTTCAACCGACAAGGAACTCGAGATCCAGCCGTTTCCCTATAAGTCTACAACTAAATTATTTTCCTATAGCTCATTTTTAACATAATCTGAAATAGTATCATCAGTATTTCAAGACCATCCTTATAAAATTCAGTGTCAACCGGTCCAGACAAACTATTAACCAACCCAACTTCAATTAGTATTAACGTTTAGAAGATACTAACAGTTGAATCACAACTTGACCAAAGCATAACATGATGGACCATTAAAGCACACAACTCTGTCATTTTGCTAAACACTAAGGGTGTATTCAATTAGAACTCTTAGATACTTTTTAAGACTTCTTAAAATTAATGACTTTTGTGGACTTTATGCAACTTTTAATGACTTTTGTGGACTTTGTGAGCATGAACTTTTGAGAATTTCTAAGACTTCTACATAATTCTTAATATAATAAGTAAATTTGAATGAAATGCTCAAATTAGTAATTCAAAAACTTATGTTTATAATAATTAATATCAATAAAGTCAAATTAGTAATCCAAATATTTATAATATTAATTTAAAATGTGTTATGATATTAAACACTATTTATTGAGCTAGAATAAAGACGGCATAAAAAAATATTATAACAAACTAACTCGATAAGAAAAAAAGCATGAAAAATGTTAACAGCCGAACTAAAAGAGTGCAATATTTATAATTGGAACAAATCAATAGATTAGTGTTTTAATCATTAGTAGTAGGATAAGATATATCAAACCTGATGAGATTTCTATTTGGATACAAATCAATAGATTAGTGTTCTAATCATTAGTGAAACTTTTAGGACAAGATTTATCAAACCATTAAACAAAAGCACACAACATCCAAAATTGAGAAACTCTACAAATTAAGCAGCTTTCAATACAGGCTAACTAGCTAAGGTATGTGAATTAAGTTGAGCATAAAAATTCCGAATACAAAATCGTATAGAAAAGATAAATATACAGGAAAAAAAACAATATATATACATGCTATTTAAATGCTTATATTCCACCAAATAAGGCCATTACACAACCTACAATAATTAATTTGTAAAGAACAATAGAAGAAAAAAAAAGGATAGCTGGAGAGTGGGTAAATTGTTTTGAGTTAATGGGGATTGGCCGTGAAAGTTGGATGGGTCAAAGTGGAGAGAAAATAGAGTATGAGAGTACCTAGTAGAAGAGAAAAGAAAAAAGTCTTCACGTAAATCTCACAAATCTGGTGAGATTTTCACAAGTATTATTTTTTCGTACTTTTTGTGAAAAAGTCTCTAAGAATCCTTTATTTTTAAAAGTCTTATAAAATCTTCATAACTTGAATAACAGACAACTTTTAGAGACTCTTGGAAAGTTTTAATTGAATACATGTAAACTAGAGTCTCCAAAAGTATCAATTGAATACCCCAACAGAGTTCTGCTCTCGCGATAAACCGAAACCCTCGTTGCGCTTGAAGTTCGTCCATTATCCGGCCGATTGGCCTTCCTTGTCGCCGGCATATGCATGGCCAGGGGTCGTCTAGACCGCCCTCCTCCTCCCTCTGACGTTCGCACCTCCGATTCACTGCGGATGGTGGCGATTAGGATTCCTATTCCCGGTAGCGGATGGGGCTTTTACTGGCGACAGCGCCTCTTCCGGTCGACGATGGACCTTTGTCTGGTCTTCTCTCTTCCTTCACAGTCATCGTCCCGCCTGGAGAGAGTAAGTCTCTGGTTCTCCCATTTGTACGCTATGTTTGGATTAGGTCGTTCTCGGCGGGGCTCCGCCTTTCTGGTGGGGCTCCGCCTTTCCGGTGGGGCTCCGATCTCTGGTTGTTGGCTTGCTGTGGTGGGGTCGGATGGGGTGCGCGTCGTCGGGTGGGGAGGAGCCCCGATGGCTGTGGTGGTTCAAGTTGCGGCGGTTGGGGCTGAAGGCTCGATCTTAGCTCACCCTCTCGGTTCGGCTAGTGGTGTTAGGCGGTCGGGGTTTGGTGTTATCTGCCTCATCTAGTGGTGTTAGATTGTCTCGAGTGGCGCAGGTGTGGGGGTTGATTGTGGCTATCTCGGGCAATGACGGGTCGATTCGGGGAAGGGTTTGGAGTTCAGTTTAACCTACTGTATAGGCCTTCTGCAGTTTCAGTAGGGGCTTCTGGATCTCGACTTCTTCTTGTGTCGATCGCTCACTGTTGGTTAGGCTAGGTCGTGCGACGAGGATGGGCTCGGTTTGTTTTCGTTTCTGTTTGTTTTGTCTTTTTTAGGTGTGATGATGTGCTGTAGTTGTTGTTGAGTTATGCTAGTTGTGTGTTGCTATTGTTTATGTGTTTTAAATTTGGGCCGTTGGTCCCAATTCGCTCGAGTGTGACCTTATTATCCTGTTGAGATCCCACACTCAAGCATTATCCTGTTAGGGTCGTTTTAGTGTCGTGTTTTTTTTTATCCCGTTGTGGTTGTTTTAGTGTTGTGTTTTTGTGTTGGTTAGAGTATTACCCTGTTAGGGTCAGTTCTAAGCGGTCTTATGACCAGTCCTCAATTTTATTCAGCTGGTGGCTGAGTGCGTATTCAGCTGGTGGTTGTACTTTTGCACATTTGTGCCTTTTATATATCATTTCTATCGTTCCGGAAAAAAAACAAGAAAAATACCCCAACATTTGAAAAGTATTAAAAGTCTCTAAAAGTCTTAATTGAATACACCCTCCTTAAGAATCAATATTAAAATCATGCTCTTGCATAATAGATTGCACGGCCACTGAAGCTGTACAATTTGATAATCATAAAATAAAGGACTGAAACATATCGCGGACAAAGAATTCTTCCTGATCACACCAAAGCCCCTGTACATGGATTGATCTTAACGGTCATGACATAATTGAGAAAAATAAAGTAATTTACAACTCGAGCCTCCGTGCGAATTCTATTTCCAAATTTCTGATTCTTCATATTAGGAGAAGACATTATAGCTATAAGCTCACGGGTGGACTTCCCTGCATATTCAGATTAGATATGTTAAATATCGTCTCAAAGACAATCACGCCCATAGAACAAGCAATTTTTCGACTTAAAGTTAACTCAAATTTGGCAGAGCAGTACAATTGACAACAAAAAAAAAAAAAAAAAAAAAAAAAAAAAAAAAAAAGAAGAAGAAGAAGAAGAAATGAAATGAAATGAAAAGAAAAGCGAGTGTCACCTTAAATAAAAGATCATGGGCAATGTTTTCCCAGGGTAGTGAAATGGACATTAAACAGCACTTGAGGGGCAGCATCTCATCCACTGAAGGTCGATTTGAAGAAGCAGCTGCAGCATAAGCTTGCTTTGCAGCTAATGATGCAACAGATGCTGCTGTACGCACGATACTCCCGATACCAATTCCTTTTTTCGATATTTGAATCGGTGAATGGGGACCTAATTCCATCTTGCTTTGATCTGTGAGAAAGATACACAGGATAGATGCTGCTTAAATTACTCAAAAGTACAGTGTTTGCTAAAATAAGCTTCAGAACAATGAACTTCAAAGAAAAAAAAGGTTGAGAAAAGGATAAAAGAAGGATTAGGGAAAAAGAGCAGAAAAATTGAACTTGTTTCGGTCTCCCACTGTGGCTTGTTGGTGAAAAGACAAGGCGAGACTAACAGAAAAGGAGCTACAATAACAAAGTTCTTAACTTCATCAAATTGAATCCTATACACCAAGACATTTAAATAACAAGATGAAGACATTCATTGACTAACCTAAAACGCCGGAGACAGCTACTTCAACTTCACCGCGTCCTCCAGGACCTTTCATGTAAATTCTGTCAGTTTTCCCAGAAGAATGACCAAGAGAGAGAAGGCTCCCAAAACCAGTTCTGCCAGCTGTAAAAACAAAAGGGAAGTAGAGAAAGGTGAAAAAAAAAAGATCAACAAAAAATGAGCACAAACCTCGACTTAGAGACCTTAATAAAATTAAAAACACGCACATTCACATTGTACTTGTAGATGGTACACAGACCATCCACTGACAGAAACGATCACCAATATCTTATTGGGTTATTATTTCAATAAGTAAACTATTTGAAACTTGAAAGTAACTGTTTTGGTTAAATTTGTGGATAATCATGACGCTCCAGTAGGCTCTATGATTGAATTCTACCGGGTCTAAGTTAGAGGTTATATAATCAAATCTTCAAACTTTCTATTCTGTGTGCCTTGAAGAAAGTAAAACTACCATTTCTCCAATAATCTGAAACACTTACTGCCTGACCGAGAATCAACAGAAGTCAAAACTATGAGAACAATAAGTTAAGATGAAAAAAAAATACTTTAACCATCTTTACTTGCTGACATAAGCTTAATATTAGATAAGATACTATTTTACTGGTTTGTTCTAACGACCACGTAACTCTTCTAGTCACAACTAGTTGAAAATGTTTCCTCAATCATTGCTTCTCTCATCTGGTATGTAATTAATATTGGTATAATCAACTATCTAAGGTCATTAAGCATAACACAAAAGTCACTTTAAATTTCTCCAACCTTCTGTTGCAACGACTTGTAGTGGAAGGAGAATCAGTATTCAGGGTTATACTCAAAAGATCAAAGTACAAGTCCAATTTTTAATCCATTGTTGAATCATGTATTGGTTGGTCCAGCATAAATTAAAGGAAGTAAACATAAAAAAAAAGGAAGAAGGTATTGAACTCTGTTTAGCCGATGAACGTCTTGGAAGAGGACAAAAGTATATACGCTACACCACAGCCCGATAGGAACACAGCAAATTACCATCATATGCTTCTCGAACCATTTGGTAGCTGACAAACCCTGAAAAAAGCGTAATCTGCAACAGGATTTGATGCCAGTAAGTAGAGTTATGCTAAAACAAAAACAGTTTAAGACGGTCCAGATACTACCTTAGAGTTCTTAAACTTGCCAGCACTTGTAACATTCTCTGAAGAAGGAACATCTGAACTAGTTTGCTCTGATTTTCTTTCATTAGGAAATGCTGCCCCAGATTGAGCATTTAGTACAACACAATAGCAGTGGTCTGTATCAGTCAAAACCTGAGGGATTGAAGTATTAATTTTAATAATGGTAAAGAAAAGATTGAACTAATTGGCTTAAGGGTCAAAAGAAATCTTATATAAAGCTTTACAAAATTGGAGTGATGGGAAGTCATATTTGCATAATGTATATATAACTATGATGTACGCTGCACAAGAGATGCCTCATGATCTCAATCATAGGCACCAAATTCATACATCCCCTAACTCCGCGTCGTCACAGATCGTGGATTATTTCGACCTGGTGGATCAGGTAAGTCGTTCGGCTTCCCAAATTTGGCAACCCACTTCTAAAAGAGAATTTTAGGTGCAATCTAAATCTATATAAAAAGGTTTGTTTACTATAAAATGTAATAGTTTACCTAAAAAAAAAATAGTTACTAATAAAGAAATTTTTTTCGATATTCTTTTTTTTCTATAAATTTTTCTTTACCCGTAGATACTTTTATTTTTATTTTAGTTAACGTGATGTCAATAATTGATCTAAATCTAATAATTAAACTTTCCAAACATTTTTCAATCAATTATTTTATTTCTACCTAATCTATTTTATTTTGAGTGATGTGATATCAACAATTTGAGATTAGTAATTATTACTATGTGATAATTATTTCTAAAGTATTAATAAGTTTATAAGTTGATATTTCAAACTTAAATTTATTATTTAATACTGATTAAAAAAAAATAGTCCAAAGCTATTCATACCATAAAATATAAATGCATATATAATAAATATATTTAGTATTAAACAAATTTAGTATTAAACAATCAAAAAAAATTGTAATTGATATGTTTATCAAAGAGGTATAAACAATTAATTCCAAAGAAAATATAAAAAAATAAGTACACAATTATTTTGAGGATCAAATATATGATTTAAAAAAAAAAAAATTGATAAACCAACGGATCATTTGTAAAATTGTCATGTAAATTATTAGTTTATAAGAACTCAAGATATTTATAATATATATTGTTATAAATCATGCTCAACCCAATGAGAAACTATAAGAGGAGAAAGAAAAATCAAAATATTTATATTAATACAAATTCTGATGGCAGAACCAACAGATCGTCAAACTATTCATGTATATTATTTACTTAGAAATAAAAAACAAGATGTTTGTAATTTTATAGTGTTATAAATTACAATGGTAAACGAATAAGTCATCTTTCCAACAACAATGTAAATTGTTAGCTTAGAAAAAAATTCAAATCTCTATAATGTGAATTATTATAGATACTATAATGATAAATCAATCGGTGTCCAACTATCATATGAATTATTAGACTACAAAGTAAATCAAAATTTAAATGATATACATTATTATTATAAATTATTAAAAAAAATAATTTTGATGTAATTAAAAATTAGTAATTTTATAACTTTAAATAACATACACTACATTCTTTTTAAATTACGTGTCAATTTATAAATTTTGTCACAGTTTTTCAACTTTATCATCACTTATTTAGCAATCAAAATAATATATTGTAATAAGGTATGAGTAAGGGAAGGGAGAGAAGTATTTTTGTGATATTATTTAGAGTATAATGTCTGAATATATTAATTTTTATATCCCTAAATTCTAAACAAAACTCCAAAATGACAACTATTTTATAGATTGTTAAATAAACATTTAAATTATATGTCAAAATATTATATATCATAGAAATAAAAGAAAAATACAAATATTAATATTAATATTCAAACTATTTTTATACTAATCAATATTCTTTATTACTTTACTTTATATGATTTATCATTATTGCCCTCCTGTACAGGGATTGGATAAATAGGATTGGATAAAAAAATTTCAAAAGTTTATATTTATCCATTCCAACTTTTTCTCCTCAACCCTATCAATACAATAATAATAAAAATCAATTATTAGTACACATTTTTTAACAAATTTCGCTATTCATCTACTTATTTTAATTACCACTATTTACATTCATTATTTTACTACTTCCACAGCAAATCAACTTTAATTCTTACGTGTTATCTCATATCCACCCAAACTGTACCATGATCTAAGTAACCTTCCTGAATCTACCAGCTAAATGATGAAGCCAAAAAAGTTGTGCACAAACATATCCAAAAATGCTAGAAGTAGCAGACAATTTTACTGATCAATCACATTTTCTGACAGCAAACATAAAAAATATCTTACCACTGCATCAAAAGTGGAATCAAAGTCATCAACAGCAAAACAAATATCTGGATAGGCAGGTGTTGTTTCTACTTCCTGATCAAATGTACGAGAGTAATGATGAAGGCCAACAGGAACATAAAAAAAAAATTTAGATATGAAATTCGACATTATATAAGATTACCTTTCTTGCGTCCAAATGAAAATTAACACGACTTGGAGATGCATATACAGTTTTCAATACCTGTCAACGTAAAAGTTTGTACATAAGGAGTTAGGTCCCAAGAGAAGGGACAACACTGAAACGCAAAGATGAGAATAATAATTTATTATTATAGTATAATTAGCAGTAGCAACAACAGTAAGATTAATAACAACATGGATGAACAACATGAAATCACCACAACTTTGGTGCAAATGGAGTCTCAGAGAATCAACATAACTTCTACATTAATATATTAAAATCAATGGCCCCTCACTCTCAAGGACTAATCTCAATTAGCATTTAACTAGCATTGAGGAAAACCTGCTATCACACAGAATACGGACTGGATATTTAAGAAAACCTAGATGCCACAAAACCCCAAGAAATGCCAAAAAACAAAAAAAGAAGAAAGAAAGAAAGAAAGAAAAGAAAGAAAAAAGAAATAGGGTTGATTTCCATTCAATAAAGGCATCCTCAAATGTGATCAACAGTACCTTATAGATAGTAGGCAAGGTTTTATCTTGACTCGCATGATATTGTTGTAGGGCCTGATGACTGGGAAAAAAAAAGAGGGAATATATAGATTTTAAATATTCTCAATCATACAGCAGCATGGAAAAAAATAAAAAAATAACTTTTCCCAACCTAAAAAGTGTTTGTCTCTATCAGAAAATGCAAGAAAACAATAAACATTAATGAGGGAGACATTTTTGGATAAGAAACACTCATCAATCTTTAAGTTAATATTTCTGTGTATGTTACTTCACCAAAACGAGAGGTGAATATATACAAGGCAATGGACCTCTCTAGACCTTGTACAGGTGTCAACAATATATAAAAGATGCCAAATAGGTAGTACTATACTAAGGATAAGGGCAACCAACGGCTAGTGAAAGAGCAGCTGCACAAGAGGCCAAAACTCCATTGATGAGAGATGCTGTTGGCCTGTATGAGAATGCATGGGAGTCCTGGTGTGTATGAGGTGCATGTGAGCCTGATATTTTATCACCCCCTCAATTCGAACGAGGAAAAAGGGCAAACATGAAGTTTGGATCGAAAACGAGTGAAGAATTGTCCTGATATAGGCTTAGTCAGGATACCTCCTAGCTGATCTGATCCTGGAATGTGTGAGATCACAACTTCTCCTTTCTTGACCTTGTCCCTGATGAAATGAATGTCAATTTCCACATGCTTGGTCCTAGAATGAAGAACCGGATTTAAGGATAGATGCACTGCTCCTAAGTTGTCAGTCCACAGAGTGGGAGTTTTAGATGGCATCATATGTAACTCTCTCAGAATAGACCAAATCCAGCTAAATTCACACAATGCATGAGCAATGCTTTTGTACTCTGCCTCTGTACTTGAACGAGAAACAATGAGCTGCTTCTTAGAAAACCAGGATATAAGATTACTTCCCATGTAAAGACAGAAACCTGAAATGGACTTACTATCATCTAAATCTGCTCTCCAGTCTGAATCAGAAAAGAGTGTGAGATCATTGTTGGTTGATGGAGTCAAACTAAGACCACAAGAGGAGCTTCCTGAGAGATATCTAAGAATCCTTTTCACAGCCTTCCAGTGAGTCTCTCTAGGATCATGCATGAATTGACTTACCTTGTGCACACCATAAGCAATCTCAGGTCTTGTGATCACTATGTATTGCAATGCACCAACTATACTCCTGTACAATGTGAAAGATATCTCCATCATTCTTGGTCAGGATTGGAGAGGTAACCATAGGTGTGCTGAGACCCTTTGCACCTTGCATATTTAAGATAACACCTTCTGAATACAAGCCTCTTGCTTCAAATGAATTCCAGTGGCTGTTTTGTTAATTTCAATCCCAAAGAATAGGTTTGGTTCTCCCATATTTTCAGAGAGAAAACTTGATTCAGCTTTCCTGCAGCAATCACATCATCAACATATACTAGCAGGATCATGAAGGAGGTGGATGTTTTTCTGAAAAACAGTGAAGTGCAAGATGCTGAGACCATAAAACCAAAATAGCACAATGCATCCTTAAGGGTGGTAAACCAGGCTCTTGAAGCATGCTTCAAGCCATAAATGGCCTTGTTCAATTTACAAACTAATTCACCAGGAACCCTTTTTCGGTTCCTTTTTCAAAACAAGGTGGCTGCTCCATGAACACTTCATCTTCAAGCTGACCTTTCAAGAAAGAATTGTCAAAATCACGAAGAGTTTGACAAAGCCATAGACAAAATCATCCTGAAGGTAGTTGGCTTAAAACTGGACCAAAAAGTCTCATCATAGTCTTGACCATAAGTTTGAGTCAAGCCTCTTGCAACTAACCTTACTTTGTGCCTTGAAATGGTGCCATCATCATTGGTTTTAAACTTGTAGACACATTTACATGTCACTATTCTTTTATCAGGAGGTCTAGGAACCACATCCCAAGTTCCATTTTGTACAAGGGCACTGTATACTTCCTCCATAGCTTTCTTCCATCTGCAGTTTTCAAGAGCCTCATGGTGATTTGATGGCTCAGAGTGTTGCTCAATATGGCTCTCATATACCTTTGGCTTGTATACACCAGCCTTAGCCCTAGCCCTTGTACTCATGATGAGTACCTGTTTCCTAAATAACAGCACGTTCTAGTGCAGAAATAACATTTTCACAAGGAAATTCAACAAACAATTCAGTAGGAGAATGTATGGATATGGCTTGATCTGAAGAAGAATGTGGTGACTGAGTGTGTGGACTGAGTTGTCTATGAGATTAGTTATCAGGAGAAGCGGGAAGCATGATTATCTGTTGGTGAGGTATCATTTTGGTTTTGGACATGCTCTTTGGGAGAAGAAATGAGAGGTGGTACAGGTATGGCAGTATTGTTTTTTTTCTGAGAGCTAGGTGTTGTGGTCTTTGTGAAGGGGAAAGAGATTTCATCAAACACTACATTTCTGGTGATTATGATTTTTCCTGTTGGAAGGAGAATCTTGTATCCCTTGTGCTTCAAGCTATATCCAATGGAAGTGTTGGGTTCTGACCTGAATTCTAATTTGTGTTTGCCGTAGGGCCTGAGATGAGTATAGCAAAGACACCCAAAATTTTTTAGATTTTAGTAGCTTGGTTTCAGGTTAAAACACAATTGGAGAGGAGTCTTGAAGTTTAATTGTTTTGAAGGGGTTCTGTTTATGACATATACAACTGCTGAAAAGGCATCATCCCAGAAGGTTTGTGGCATATGACTGTGGGCAAGAAGAGACATTCCTACCTCTACAATGTGTCTATGCTTCTTCTCGGCTATTCCATTTTGCTGAGGAGTGTATGGATAAGAACACCTATGACTTATCCCATTCTTCTCAAGAACAGGAGACAGAGATTTGACCTCACCTCCTCCATCTGTTTGGATCATTTTCATCTTTCTATTTAGTTGATTTTAAACAAGATTTTTAAAATGGATGAAGGCATTCAAGGTACCACTCTTGTTTTTCAGAAAGTAAATCCAAGTGTATTTGGTTGCATGGTCAATGGAACCGACATAATATCTGAGATCATTGTTCGACAAGGGGCCCCCAAAGATCACTATGGATTTTAATGTGAGAGGTTCTGAATATTGAATATTGACTATCTGAGGTAGGAAAAGACAAACCTCTTACTTTTGGATTTAAGACAAGCATAACATAATCCTTTCTTTTCATTAAGAGAATAAGGAACATTACAAAGATATAATGCTTCTCTCACATCATCCATAGCTGCATGACATGACCTAACCTTGAATGCCAATTATCTGACTATCCTTCTTTAAGGCTAACAGAATTGGCACAATGAAAATTTTTATTAGAGAGAAGCTTGAGCAAACTTGAGCTGGGACATCTCTATCAACTTCAGCTTTGGCTGTCGTAGGGAAATGGAAGTAGTAAAGGCCATCTCTAAGTTCCCCTTTGAGAAGAATCACTCCTGTGGCTAGGTCCTTCACAAGACAAAACATAGGGTGAAATTAAAAGAATACAATTGTCTTGGGCAAAGTGAGAGACACTTAGGAGGTTTTAGTTATCTGAGGAACATGTAGGAGATTTTGAAGGACAGAACTTCTCTTTGTGAAGGATAAAGGTGAAGAAGAAAAGCGAATGATTGGTTTGCTTATGCGAGAAATATTTAAACCTACACCATTACCAACATGATGCTTGTTGGGTCCTTGATATTCACTTGCAATGCTGAGGCTGCAGAGGTCATTTGTCACATGGTTTGTAGCTCCTGGATCAGGGTACCAGCAGGACTTGTGGAAAATCATTGTTAATGACACTATTTACATATGAGGGGGCATTTCCAACAGTGAAGTTGGCTTGATTCTTATTATTTCTTCCATTGAAAACCCTATAACTGGCATCAAATCGAAGATAGCATCTGTCTGCTGTGTGTCCTTGATTGTGACACACCTACACCCGACACTGGAAATTTCCTCTTCCTCCTGAGGAGTTTCTACCTCCACGACCTCTGTAACCTCCTCTGCAAGAGCCTCTTCCAGATCTTCCCCTAGAGGATCTTCCTCTCTCAACTGTGGGATTTGAGTTCTTGGACTGATAATCAGTACTGAGCAGTGAAGTTGCCACTTGGGATTGATCCATTGTTTACCACACTGAGGTTAGCAGACTCCAACCTATTTTCATAACTCAAGAGCATGGAATGAACATCTCTCATGGCAACTAGATCTATCCTTGAGGTTAAGGACACGATTATACTCTTGTCCAAACCCTGAAAACATATAGAGCATTTGATCTTCTTCAGAAATCCTCTCTCCAATGGGGGCTAGAGTGAGGATTTGTTCTTTGCCAAGAACTCTCTAATGGACATGGATCCCTTCTTCAAGGCTTGCAGCTCTAATTTGTATTGCATCCTTCTTGCTTGCGACTGACTAGCAAAATTAAGGGCCCGAGTTTCCCACATCTCCTTTGAATTGTTCAGACCAACCATCAAACCCAATAGGTTTTCAGAGAGAGATGACAAGATCCATGAGGCTAAGAGTTGATCTTGCCTAACCCAAGCATCATACTCCAGATTTGGAGTTTGGAGGTTGTTACCTTCACTATCAGTGGCCTCAATGAACTGTGGTGATTGCTAGCTTCCATTAATGAATCCTTCGAGTCTATAGCCTCTTATAGCTGTGAGGAGTTGTTGCCTCCAAATGAGATAGTTGGTCTCAGTAAGCTTGATAGCAATGAGTTGATTTTGGGGATGGACTATTTGAACCTGAGAGCTCGAGGTTGAATCACCAAGTGTTGACATGGTGATTTATTTTATGAGGATCAGATCAGTCAGGCCATGCCTGCTCTGATACCATATCATAAAATGCAAGAAGACAATAAACATTAATGAGGGAGACATTTTTGGATAAGAAACACTCATCAATCTTTAAGTTAATATTTCTGTGTATGTTCTTCACCAAAACAAGAGGTGTATATACAAGGCAATGGATCTCTCTAGACCTTGTACAAGTGTCAACAATGTTAAGTATATAAGGTCCATCCCCTTTTCCTACAAAAAGTGGCAATAAATATTATGTTCTTTTTATTGATGATCATTCTCGATATACTTGGATATATTTTATGAAACACCGTTCTCAGCTGTGTTCCATTTATAAGGATTTTGCTCGCATGGTTCATAGTCAGTTTTATACTCCTATTCGAGTTTTTCGTTCGGATTCTGGTGGTGAGTATTTATCTAACAAATTTCTTCAATTTTTCACCTTTGAGGGTACTCTTACCCAACTCATGTTCTAGTGCACATGCACAAAATGGTGTTGCGGAAGAAAAACACCGCCATCTTATTGAGACGGCTCGAACCCTTCTCATTGC